TTTAAATTAATAATATTTTTAATATAGTTTTAATTTTAATTATTGAGATATAGCTATAGACCTAACGTATAACTATTATTTAAAAAAAAAATCAACTAAAAATATTAACTGGATCAAAAGTTATTTAAGTTGTCAGTGAGTGGTGGGCCACTCTGTATATGTTGCCATTTAAAAGATAAAGTTGAAACCCCTAAAAAATATTGAGGATGGACCTAAAAATTATTTTATAATATATAAATGAAAATAATTGTGTACTTAGAAAATCCAAAAATTTCTTTTTTCAAAAAAAAAAAACATATTATTTTAAGAATACATCATTGATTAATGTTAAAATAATTGCCCTACATATGTAGAGGTATAATGTGGCCTTACTAAAATTTTAGTTTTAGTAATAAAGGTGGCATGATTTGTCCATACAATCAGAACTTTGCGAATTTCCTTCAAAACAAAGAAAACTTAGACATGTTGACATTCTTACTCCTTATGGTAAAATTCGTTATAATCAGACTTTCCAGTGTATGATGAATAAACTCTTCCTACTCGGTGCAAATATGAGACTTCTCAGCAGAGACATATTTAGGATTTTGACGCCCCAGGTAAAGGTTTATTGCCGCCTCTACATAACCCCTATTTTATGTATTATGGTTATAAAAAAGTGCTGTCACTTTTGGTACTCAAAGTACCAAGAGTAAATGGTAAATGGTACCCACTTGTCCTTTTCTAAATACGTTCCTGTTGTTCAGTTAAAAGTTTCATAACTTTTAAAAATTATAATGTATACTTACGTTTGAATAAAAATAACAATTGTTTTTGTTTATTTCATTATTGATTATTTTTATTTTTCTATTATTTTATTATAAAACAATTGTATTAACAAAATTCTGAGAATTTGTTAAATTATCCTTTCTACACAAGTTCATTGAAAAATTAGAGCGTACCTGTTATTAAACAAAATGTTCTTAGTTTAAGACTCTTGTGTTTTAAGACATTGTATATTAAACAATGAATTCAAACAATAAACTATAGATAAACATATAAATTTCTCGAACTTAGAAGTTTAACATTTAAAGAAAACTATTTAAGGATTTATAATGGTTTATCATTATTATGCAATTGTGGTAATACAATTTTCAGTTCTTTGATATGCTTTTTAATTGTAATTAAATATTATTTAGAAAAGAAAAAAAAATTCCTGATTTCTAGTTAATACTAATTCATTTATTATTTGTTATAATTATTCGTACTAACTTTTAGTTTGTTAATAATTTTATTATCTTTTATAATGCCTATTCTTATATTAATAAGAATAGGTACATTATATTATCTAATTCATAAATACATTAAATAATAATCATCTTTAATACAGAACTCTTATTGGTATATTGAGGTTAAGTTGTGTACTGTTGTGTTTATTGTGCGTGTTATTATTGGCAATATCGACAAGGGTGGTATTAACACCTTGTCATTTCGAATAACAATAGAATTAGTATGTATATAAAAAAGTATAATTATTAAAATATTGGCAACTATATCAAATGGTACTCTATAACTCCCTCGACCCCATAAAACACCAATATAAAGGGCAATTGGTATACATTATACATTAAGTTCAAATTGAGGTCGCATTATCTCCTGCATTGTTTCGCGGTGTAAAAGGGAAACGAATGAAGGGTGTAGATCTGCTACACGCAGACCAAATAAATAGGGTACAAACCCTTTGTATGCGTTTTCCCTAGAATATATAATTGTACTGCAGCTGCATAAAGCTTACGTCACACCCACACTTAAAACAGTCCATCGTTCTTTTTTTAGGATTTACATTATTAATCTCTTGAAGTTACCTAGATAATCTTCATTCTACTAGGGGGTTCTTATTTAAATCGATTTTTAGCGGAACCTACGAAAAGGATCAGTGATAGAATCATTTTATAGTAAAAAAAGGGTTTAATGAAAAACATCAACAATCACATAACAGATTGCTGAAACAAAATAATTTTCAAGTTTTATTATTATATTACATTTTTATATTATATATTAATTACGCAATAAGAGTTGATTTCTCGTGGCTAATATTATTAAGAGTTAAAAAATATTTAACTCAAAATGTCATAAAAATACTACAAAAATAAGTATACATATTTGGGAATCATCATTGGCATTAGAAACATACTGACATATACTTTATTAATTTTAAATTAATATTTAAAATAAACTTTTTATTTATTATTATTATTATTCAGAGACTCTTATAATAGTTTAAATTGTATTTATTTATTTTATGGAATATGTATATTATTAAATTAAAATATAATTTTTACATTATACGCTTATTACATAATATCAATATCAAATCAAAGTATTACACACTTATGCAAAGCAAAAAATGGCAAAAAAGTCAACATATATGTTTATATGTAATAAAAATTTAAAAATTATCAAATAGTTGATCATTAATTTATTGTATGGGACTTGTCAAAATCAAGTTACATAATATGTAATTTCATATATGCAGGTTTTCCACCATGTTTTGACATCTTTAATAACTTTTGATCCAATAAATATTTTACATTACTTTTTTAAAAATAATTTTTACAATATAAAAATTTACTACATTAAAAACATATATTTTATTATTCGTGTCTAATAAAAAAAAAATTAACTTTTCGTATTTTAAAGGTGGAGTATATATTAATAATATTCATCAGTAAGAGCTGTACCCATTTGGGTTACGTACCCACTCAATGAATTAAAATTCTTGAAACTTAATAAATACTTAAAGTTGTTATTGACCCATCACGATTTAGCAAATGAAAATGATCATATGATAATAACTATGCAAATGCTTAGAGTTAATTTTAAATGCAGAATAATTTACAGGTAATTTGTTTTTAATCACATTGTATATTTATTTTGATAGACCTATTACAAAAATGTGTGTAACATTAATTTCAAACACTTATATACACGTGTCTGTATTGCACGTGCCGCTCGCACGTGACACTAAATGATATTATCCTAGGACTAATAAGATTTATAAAAATTTTTTGTTAACAAAAGAAACACATCCCTGATTTTTGACGATAAGCTTATTGCATTAGTTATGCTGTCTTTAATTTCATAGATTTTTTTTTAATTATATTGATATTTTAAGAAAATTTGAAAGAACAAAATAAACTATTGAAAAAAAAAAAATAAAAAACAATGAAGTCACATGACATACATAATAATTGATATGTTTCATAATTAATAGTACCAGTGGCGTATTTTTGAACCGGAAGTGTATAGGGGGCCACTGAAGCAATCCTCCCCTGATACATTAGATAAATTAAAAAATGTACTGATTACCATAGACGTAAATAGTATTTTTTAAACTAGGGGTGCTTAAGTATCAAAAATCAAACAATTTTTCTATAGAAATTTTAGTTAAAAATCATTTTCATGACCTTTTTTTGCTCTTAGATCTCTTAAAAATTAAAAAAATCATTATTAATATCAAGAGGTGTTAAACAAATTTTTTAAACAAAAAAAATGTCCTATCTTCCTCTGGAAGTATGTTACATTAAGGGCTTTAACACTAGCGAATGGAAATGAAATAATTTTTTTTTATAAAATCTTAGGTAAAATTTATAAGAATATTAAAATTTTGAAATAATGAAATTTATCTTTTTGAAATATTTTAGATCTTTAGTTAAACATATATCAAAGACAATGTACTGTTTAATCTATAATTTGTGATAGAATTATTTTATTTTGAAAATTTTTCAACCTGATTCTATGTACAAAATAAGAGTATCATTGATTTGTTTGAACGTTACCCCTTGGGAAAGAATACACCTGTTTATATTGACTGAAAACGCAGCAGTTGAAAATGTAAACACAGAATGAAAGTGCCTAAGAACATAAAATTTATTATTTGTAGTATCTTGTATTAAATCACAAAAAACTGTTTGAATTTTAACTAATACTTAGGTATGTTCTCACTAATAATTTTTTTTTATGAGTAACACACACGCTGATGCAATAAGTTAAATCATTTTAATAGTTAGGAAATAATATATGGTGGTTTAATAATTTAACAAAATGTATCATTTTCTATGATTTTAATCATAAAATTTGTATATTATAAATATATAAATATCTAGGTATAAACTCAAATATTCAATTTTTATTAAAATTAATTTTTTTTCAATTAGTAAATAAAATAATTATACTTATAATTATTTTATATTTAAATAGATTTTATGATTGTAAATTTAGAGAAAAATATTTAAGAAATAAATAAACTTTTATAGTATTTTAATTAAAAATTTTTTTAAAAATGTAATACGGCTATTAAAGTTTGAACATTTTGAAAAAATGGAACTCATAATGATTTGATTATAATTTTGATTTCGGCTACATTTAAAATCATAGTCTTCGGCCGTTCAAGATTATAGATACTTTCAATACTTTTGAATAATTTCTACTTTCTTTTTAATTCCGCTTGTTTTACTTACGAACTTTATATCTTTTTCAGTAAAAATATTGTTATAATTATTATAATTCTTAAAATAATTATTAACTTGCCTGACCTCAATTTCTAAACAGTTTTTATTTTAATTTTTCCACGAAATAGAAGTTCTATTTGGATTAATGAATGATATTATAATAATATCTCAAATATATTTATTGTAATATGGTACTCAAGAGAATAAAAACAATAAAATCATAAAAACGTAAAAATCATGATTATCACTGTTTAATTAAAATTATTTTTTTAAATAACGATTACATTTTCAGTTATTATTATAATTTTTTAACATTTATAACTTTTATGAGTATTAAATAGAGTAATAATGTTAGAATACCATTATTAGGGTTACCCGGTTGGTAATTAGTCAGCAATTCTAAAAACTTCAAATAGAAGGTATTCAATTTAGTTATCATAATTTAATTAAATCATGAACTATAACAACTTAAGTTAAATATTTTTCATTTAATAATCATAAATAAAAAGCCATGGTGTAATAGTTGTGGGATACACTGGGCGTGGTTTTATGGTTCCATGGCGACATCCCTTTGAAACGCCTTATACTGTTCTTTCTTCGACAGAAACTATTAGTATTCGTACATACATTGAAAAGTAAGTACGTTAGTATTATTTAAATAAGTTGTAGATCAAAATGGATCATTATTATCAGCTACATCATAATTCTACACATCAACATCATACACCTTATTCTAGAGATTATTTTCTCTACGAGTATTCATCTGGCTCTGAGTCAGATGGGAGTTCATTAAATAGCGATTATGAATCTAGTAATTGTGGTAAGTCATGAATAACATCAAATTACTATTTATTTTAATTTTTTTTACCAGTGACTGTTAAAATTAAAATTCAGATAAAATGAGTTTAGGTTTTAAAATATCGTTTTGAATTTAAATAATAATTAATATTTACAGGCATATACAAGGCGATTCTGTTAATATAATCCAGTCCATTTATTTTAAATAAACATTATGATAAAGAAATTATTTTTGATGTTTTTATCTTCATATATTTTTTGATTTATTAATTATTACGTTTAATTCATCCCTTATACCTTAATAAAAGTGTCAATTCCTTCTTTTAATAACAATATACATGTTTAACTAGAAAAAAATTTTTATTTAAGATAATGACTGGTCGATAAAAATGTTTACACCAATATTTTGGAAACCACAAGCATGTACAAAAATATAAATATCTTCTTAAGTATTAGTCCAAATTTTATATGCATTATTTCGGAAGTTATAACTTTTTTAAAGTATAGAGTCGTGGAATCGTGTAGGTTATAATATTTTTATAAATTACACTGTCGCGATCTTCCTCCCCTTTATATCTAAGAATATTAATAAATTCTTAAGTACTATTTCAAAAATCGTTTACGGATAGTCATTTTTATAATTAAAAAATTTATTATTTTATTAAATAGTTTAATATGTATATTGCTATTTAAAAAATATGGTTGATACCTTCATAAAGTATAAAGGAAGAATTAAAAAACAAACGTAATAATTAATAAATTGAGAAATATATACAATTAAAAAAAAAAGCAAAACAATTTTTCTCAGCAAAATTTTTATCTAAAACAAATTGAGTGGCTAATATAAAAATAATTGCTATGAACACGACAACGTTATAACTTATTATAATTACGCCGTAAAAATAATAATACTAAACTATTAAATATAAATTTTATACTAAATTTAGTTACTATAATAAGTATTTATTTATGTATTATACTTATAAATTTAAAAACTTATATATTAGGATATAAATAATAAAATAATTAATTCCTTTTATAAAGTAAACATTATCTACAAATTTGCATCGAAGTTTTTGTTATGTTAGTATTTTGAATCATTGTTAGAGATTTTATTTATACTAGTCCCAATTATATCACGATCCCACTGTGTTGTGTGTTTTTTTTTAATATTTTTATTTGTAGCATTCTTCCATATATATAGAACAATTACAGATTAATGTAATTGAATAATGACAATTAGTAAGTGAGAGACCTCACGCATCTTTCAATACCCTCTGCATATGCCTAAAACGTTGAATTGTTGCCACCCACTAAAAAAAAGTAAAATCTATCAAACGATAAAATTACAAAATGTAGATTTTGATATCTAAAAATGTTAGCTCCTTCTTATGAAAATCTTAATTTACTTTTTCAACATATAATAAAATATTACATGTTATTTAATGTTTTATGACTTTTTGAAAAATATTTAAAAATCCATTCAATGTTTTCTCAAACGGTTGATATTAGTATAGTGTATGCATTATGCCGTCTATTTTTGCTTTTATGTCGTATTTTGCTAAATACATAGATATAGGCACACCCAAAAAAATATACCATAGCAAAGTACAGTGTAATTTATGCAGAATTTTCGTCCACAGAATTCCCGAAAAATCTACCTCTCAGTCTACATGCATTTTTTAAATCTTAATAACCCGCCGACTGTTCAGAATGATCGAAACAAAAAGAAACAAGTATGGCTATAAATAATATATATTTTTCTGAAGCTTCTCAAATTAAACGCTTAAGTGTAATAAATAATATTTTTCTTTTTTCCGATGTAAATAATAATTAAATGGTTAATATTTTTAGATGTAAATCACAAACCTCACGCTTTTCCTCCTACCTTTTCTCTTTCTATTTTATTCTACATTAGTAACAAAATAAAAAAGCTAATAAAAAAAAAATTCCATCTTGCCTCATTTTTTTCTCTCCCAAAAACAAAAGTGTCCTCTTCTCTTTGCCAATTATAATAATTAGCTTAACCTTTGGTAACTCTTTTATGAGCGGTGATTTTAACGGTCATCATATTTTATGGGGCTTGTCTAATAACAACTTTTAACCTCATTTCTTCGTCCATCAACTCCCTTTTTTATGTAAACCTAATATTAGTGAACCTACTCTAGCAAATTGTCTTCCTTACTCAAACATATCCATATATTTAATTATTATCTCTCCTAATCTCTTTTAGTCCTTTTCGTGAAATGTACTTGACTGTATACATGATAGTAACCATTATCCTATTATTGTCGTTTACTCTAACTACTCAACCTTCTCTAGCCTTACCCCTTAACTCTCGCATTCCTATATTTAATTACTAAATTAAATTCAATAAACGTCTTTGTTTTCTATTTATATATCTATTTTACTCTCTGATTTTCTCTTTCTAATAGTTTTCTCTCTTATTATAGCCGTTTCTAGTTCAATACCTCAAATAAAAAAAATTTCCTCGGACTTCTTTATGATAGTCTACTGGATCCATATTTGCTATCAACTACCTCCATACACAGACCTTTAAGAAATACCACACTTCTGGGTCATTCAATGATCGTTATTTAATAACTATATTGAACTTCACAAAGTTCAAATTAATACCATTCACATCCTTGAAAAAGCCAAATAGAATTTTTTGGATTCATTTTTCTCTTCATTAAATCCCTTTACTATTTGTTTTTACAGATTCTGCGCGCTACTCTTTCTTTGTTTTCAATCTTAAGATTTTTTTGTTCTTCAAAATGATATCTTCTTTGCCCTTTAATGTATTATTTCTTCTCTTAGGAACTGTTATGTTATTTTTTCAGGTTTCCAATCTTGCTTTCAAGCCATATTTACAGGTTCCTTTTGACTAATTTCTCTTTTATTATATTTAACATTAGATTGCTTATTTTATTTAGTAATACTCTCGGGAAAAAATTCCAGTTTTCCTAGGGACCCAGTCATGTGGACATTGCAGGAAATGAAACTGCCGACCTTTTGGTCAATCCTACTTCATATACTATATCACCCATAAATATTCTTCTTCCTCCTATTGATTTTCTTTGAATTTTTTAATACTTAAATTGTTTATTATTTATTTAGTTGGGATTAAACGCGATAATAATTTATTTAATTTATTATTTAAAAAGTTTTTTGATAGATGTTTAAAAAAAAGTTATTGGTGTATAAAATTAAAAAAAAAATTAAAGTACTGTTTTTTTTTTGTTCTCCTGAAAATGTCTCTTAAGTCTGTTAGCGTTGGTCCATGTTACCTACCTTCATCCCTGTGATTAAGAACATTTAGAAAAAGTAGGTTATGTTATCTTTTTGTTACACATGTATTGTTTTCGTTACTTTTTTGACTTTTAAAATAAAATCAGATATATTTAATAAATATTTTGTGGTGTTCTTTAGTTTTAATAAAAATAATTATTATAAAGAGTCACAGGTCATTTTGCCTTGAAAGTATCAGTACGTTTTAAAGAATTTGTCTCACTTTTATTTTCTGATAGGTTCAGGTAGTAAAAAAGGCTCTCGGTGTCATAGACAGAAAACTCAACAGCGCCAAGCAGCAAATTTAAGGGAAAGAAGACGAATGCAAAGTATCAATGAAGCATTTGAAGGTCTAAGAGCACACATACCTACTTTACCATACGAAAAGCGATTATCTAAAGTGGATACTCTCAAATTAGCTATAGGCTATATCAATTTTTTGTCCGAATTAACCAGAGGATCTAATTCATCATCAAATGGAGTTTCTTCTTTGAATGTAGCAAAACTCACAACTATTGCTGGACGGTTACATAGACCTCCAGTCCAAGTAAAAGAACAACCGGTTAAAAAATTTATTGTAAGAGGTTAGTTAACGCATTATTTAAAAAAAATATTACTAATAAAAATATAAAAATAACTTATGCTGTGCATTAAGAGCAGAGACGGTTTCGTCCACTGGGCTGCCATGAGAATCCCAGTGGTCTGGACTGTTAAAATGTTGTGTAAAATGTGGCCTGAATAAAGTTGGGATAACTTTATTTTAACTTATTTTCAGGTTGTCTTTGATTATGGGATTACAAAAAAGAACTATTTTATTGTTAATTTTAAAAATGTGCTGTTTATTGGAATAAAAATTTTGCTACACTTTAATTCAGATGAACTGGGTATCTAAAACTTTATTTTGGAAAGTAGTATTAGTGAAATTTGCTGACGTTAATAACTGAAGTTATTTTCAAGCATTTAAATCTCATCATTCTTAACATAAGTTTAAGTTTTCGGTAGACATACTACAAAAATAATAATTTTTAATTATTAAAGTTTTCAAGAAAATTTATTGTGACATACCTTTTTTTATAATTCATTTGTGGAAATTATCAAAAAATGGTAATTCCTAAGAGAAAAAAAATTTAACTTACTCAATTAACATTTATCTCTTTTATTATGAAAATCGGACTAAACAAATTGTTTAAATTTGCATCGAAGCGTTTCTTATGATGGTGATTTTAATCACTGTCATGTATCATCTATACTTGTGCCAACTACCCCACTGTGCTATCGTTTCTTATATTAAGTGTAATAGGGTTGAGTAATTAGGAAATAAATCACAAGCAAAGCGAGTGGCTTTGTAAAATAATGAGCGGCTCAAAAATTGGCCCTTTCCTAGTAAAATTTAAAATGATGTTTTTGAAAAAAAAAACCGAAATAAAACCATAGAATGATCAATTTTTTCCAATATTTACGCAATAATCACTTAATGTATTTCGATTAATTAGATAATCCCCCAAGTTATTTAGTGTACTTTACTGCTTATACCTATAAGCAGTAAAGTAGTAAGTTTTTATTTATTAGTTTTTAATAATTTGAACTTAATACTAATCTGTTTATTTTTTATTAGTATTTTAATTGTGAAATATAAATTTTATTTTATATTTATGCCATGTAAAATTAAATTTACAGGAGCCTTTGGTACACCATATTCATTACATTCTCTTTCGTGGTCTAGAGCTAAAGAAAATTGTCCTAATAGTGCTGGAATAATGCGAGCAAAGTTATGGCGACCCGAAATATGTTCTACACGAAGTACAGCTTCCAAAGTTACTACTATGTGCTCAACATCACAAGGAAAATCAATTTGAATTCTATATAATTTTAGTTTATAACTAATTTTTAATAAAACTATTGTAAATAAAATTGATTATTGTAATTCTTTCTTGTTAATCTTAGTTGAGTCAATATTATTGGAAAATTGACTTACTTTAGATAATTTTAATTATAAATATTTTTAAACATGTTTTGAAATTATTTAAATTATAATTACTTATATTATATTATTTTTTGTTACAAATTTTAATTTATGTGATGTTGTTTAATATATATTGGCATAATATTATAATGTTTTTATAATAAATTAATTAAGACATCGAAATTTTGATTTAATAATAATTATTGAAAAACTATTTTTTAATAATTGAGGAGTTTATTTCCAAAACAATTATATACTAAAAAATTAAAATCTATTATGATCTTAGTCACTAATTATATCGAAAATATTGAGTATTGGAAATGAGGCTATATATTAACTTATTTTTTGAGTTGTAAATTATAATTTTTTTAAATATTTCAAAACAAAAAAAAGCTATTTATGTATTATCACTTAACTTTAGAACTAAAATTATTAACTATAGTTGATAATTTTTAAACTAAAAAATTACTTAACTAAGTATAAACAATCCATACATAAAATTTAATTAAAATTAATATAAACAATAATAATAGATAATTTTAAATAATAATAATGTAGTTAGCAAAATGAAAATTAATTGAATAACAAAAAAAAAATTGTAGGAATTTTATTGCTGTCGTACTTAAGCATTATTATTGCCAGAATGCTTTAAAATATTGGCTTTTATGATGTTAAATAATCTTTCGTGATCATATATTGTAATTTTAGTCAGACATAGCATCTAAAAAATAAACATACATTAAAGTAGTAAATATATTTGTATAGAATATATAGATGGGGGGCGTTAAAAATCTCTATTATTTAGGGGTTCAAAAATTAAGGAAAATAGTTCCTATTGTTAGTAATAATTGACTTGTTTTTCTTTATTTAATGAATATGTAACATATCTATACTACAGATGGTTTAGCGTAGGCAAAATATGCTGTATAGAAACAAGACCGATTTCATTGAGGAGTGTGGGGATGTCACTCTCCCCAAATTTTTATCAATTTCATAAGAAGAATTATTAAAATTAATTATGAAATTTCGTACTAATGAAAGTACATAAATTGGCAAAATTCACTTCACATCCCTCTAAAATTTATCACTAGGATTTTATACAGAATAAGTTTTAATATTTTCTTCATATCTTTTTATCCAAAGATTTTTTAATTGCTATTTAGAAAATAATAAAAATACTGGTTGTACCGTGATAAAAGGAGTACTTTTTCATTGCAGGGAAAACGAGTAAGTCTGTTTGAATTTTACAACAACAATATTTATATTGTGTGAAACATTATGGTGTATTCAATGACAGCATTTTCACCAACATAGCGTGATCTGTACACATGACACCTCGAAATAATTCAAGTATTCTATGAAAAATGCAGTATAAATTAAAAATTATTTTTTCTCAGGAGTTTCAAAAATAGCCGTTCAGATTTGGTTTGCTTTAAAAGAGCACTGTCGATATATCAACATATTCAATTTATTACAATTTAATATTCTTACCGCGAAGTACTTTTAAAATTTGAAGACTCTGGTTATGCACAGATCAAATTTTGTTCTCACACATGCTCATAATGCTCTTAATGGTAGCCACTTTAAACAACAAAATTTTGTTTTGAAAATAAATAGTTACTCTTCAGTTCTAATAAATTTGTTATAGTATTTAAAAATATTTTATCATTATTGTTGCGACATTGAGTTTACAGCTATTTGTAATGACTAAAGATTTACTAAAATATTTTATCATTACAAACAGCTAAAAACTCAATGTCATTTCAATAATGATAGAGAATGAGCCGTTTACATTATAAAGTATATACTCTACTTGAAATAAATTTTTCAAATTGTTAATTATGCATTTTAAAAAAATGTACAAAATTTATCGCTTACACGAAGACGATTGGTTTTAGAAAGTATTATTTATCAGTGTCGGCGCTAGATTTTGCCCTGTGCCAGTAGAGATGAAATTGAACAGGGTTAGATCCTCCCAGGTCAAATTGATTAAATGTTATAGAAAATTTTTTTTGTTTTCAGGGGGTAATAAACAATGTTTTTAAGTATAACCCATTAAAAAACAAAACTCTAATTATGCTACTGCTTTGTGTAATGCACTGTAACTTGTACCGACGCAGTTATTTATAGTGGAACTTGAAATCACAAGAAAAAATAAATGACAAAAAAAGATTAAATTGTTGTTGATTTGCAAAAATGTCACATTAAAATTAAATATCAAATAAAAATTGCGCAAACTAAAACTGTTGTTCAACGTTCGTTAAATTTGCGCTATAATCTCAGTGAAACACATCTTAAGTCTTTGTTATTTTAATGTTTTTTTTTATTAATTTAAGAATTGACACGACCACCGAATCGTTACCTGTGTGACACTCCGTGGTCATGACAGCTCAATCTTAGCCACTGCACCACAGTAACTGGACCGTTACACATACACGTTATCGTCGTGGTGTAAAGTCCTACAAACGGTCTACGTGACGGAAATGAACCCGGTACCTACGCACTAAGGTAAAATGTGTTACTAACTGAGCAAGATAGTTGCTTAAATAAAATGATATATCGATACTTCAATGTACTAAAAATATTATCCATCCATCTTTTTCTTCTTTTTTTACCGCGCCTTTATCCCATCTACTTGGGGTCGACATCCTTATCCTAAACTTCCACTTAACATGATATCCCACATCAACCGTCATCATATCGCAATCAATAACATACCTCCATCTCTTTTTTGGTTTTCCTCTACCTCTACCTTCAATATTAATTTGTATAAATGTGTTTATAGCTTCAGACTCCTCTTTCCTCATAATATGACCAAACCATTTAAATCCATTTTCTCTCATCTTATTTACGATTGACGTGACACCTATACTCCCTCGTATATGTTCTTTCCTTATCTCATCCTCTCAAGTCATCCTATTCGTACATCTAAGAATTTTTATCTCTGCTCTAATTTCTTTTCATCTGCCTAACATTAAACTATACATCATAGTTGATCTATTACAGTCTTATAGAACTTACCTTTCAGCCTCAATCTTTTATCGCATAAGATTCCAGACACTTTTCTCCACTTCAACTACCCGCACTTAATTCTGTGTCTTACATCTTCGTCAATATCACCGCTCTTTTGCACAACTGACCCTAAATACTTAAAACTTTTCACCTTTCCAATCACGTCCTCGCCTATTGTCACTGATCTCCTCATTTCATCTACCTTGTGTTCTCCTTTATCAAAATCGTACTCTATATACTTTGTCTTCTACTAATTTTCAATTCCCTTTCTTCAAGAGCTGATCTTCGCACCTCTAGACTTTTATTAATTTCTTCCATATTTTCTCCTATTAACACTATTTCGTAAACGAACAACATTCACCACGGTACTTCTCCATGTATTTGTTTAGTAATTTCATACATCACTATAGAAAATAAGTAAAAGCATAAAGCAGAACCTTATGCACTCCTACTCTTACTCTAAAACCTACTGTTACTCTGCTCACACTTGTTAACCTGGTACAAGTGCCATAATACCTATTCTCTATTATATTAATATACCTTTTCGGGACTTTTTTTCTCATTAATCGTTAATTTATCAGGTATAAATCTAAACTGGTTTTTAGATACCAATATCTCATTTCTTGTTCTTTTATTTATTACAATTTCCCAAATTTTCATATTATGACTCATAAGCTTTATACCTCTATAATTTCCACACTCCTGTTTCTTTTGTTTGCTTTTAAATATTGGCACCATAATACTATTCCTCCATTCTTTTGGCATTTTTCCTTCTTATAAAATTTTATTAAAAAAGTCATTCATCTTCTTTGTGCTTAGCCCTTAATGGGCTTATAAAGTGTAAAAAAAAAAATCTCTTAATATAATTTTATGTATTATATATGCATATAGTGTGATTTATAAAGTATATTAAGTAATTGAAAAAAAAACAATTATTATGATGATTATGCTCCCTCTTAGTACTTTGGTAAATGATACGATTTCAAAAAAAATCAGGTGTTGAGATTTTCAACTATATACATTTTGTGATCTTTTAGAGTATTGCTGATGAATCTGGTCAGAAGAAGAATAATCGTGAATACTATCATACACACACACATATAAAATAATAACCACAGCATGACAAAACCAATAACTTTGAAGCTAGCAAAGAAATGTAAATCAAAAAAGTTATTCTAGAATCCAATGAAATTGAAACAAATAATAAATATTATTAATACTTTTACTTTGGTTTCAAAATTATAAAAAATTTTTAAATATATATGTTTCAACAAGTAAAAAAATAAAATAAAAATATAACATAACAATAACTGATTATAAACATTTTGGATCTAAACCACTTTGTAACATTTTTAGTTCAACAGCACCCCTTGGTACACCAACATGTAACATTTTGCGATATTTTAGTATAACTGGATCACTGGTAGAAACTTTTTCTTCAGAATTATCAGAAAAATTATTTTTGTCTAATAATGTTTCTTCTTTTTTTAAAGAATTTTCTTTTTCTTCAATTTTTAAATTTTCATTTATTTCAGTTTTTATAGTTTCATTTGAATGATAGGTTTGCTTTTCTTCAATTTCTCGTAAATCCGGGATAGAATTTAACTAAAATATAAAAAAATATTATTTTGAAAAAATCAAATAGAGGAAATTTATACTTTTGTCTCTAAAATACACAATGTTGCAGCTACTTTTTGAAGTCTCTGTTCTACTTCCATAAGTTTGCTATCACAATGAACCATAAAATTATTTAGGAATGTGACTGAAGTTATTATAAAATGATTTATAAATGTAACCAATTGACGTTCTTCCAATGTTGGAGCCTAAAATTAAAAATAACTTAAATAATATTGCACAGTAAAGCATAACTTGTTGTTACAATTTTTATTAAACTTACATTTTCAAATTCCATAATTATTATTTGTATCAGCGTAAGCTATAAAGTTGTAAATTAGTCGTCGATGATTCAATTGCACTTCATGATCTCGGTATCATGAAGATTTTTTATCATAAATCAGAAAATAACATTTTTACTATAATATTTTGATTTCAAATTTTGTGATAAGAATTTTATAATAATGTCAAATAGGATTTATCCCATAGAGTAACAGGAAGGATGATAATCATTTTATAAGAACAGAATACCAACATAAATAGCATCATAAAAATTTAGATAATTTATAATTTTGTATTTGTTATTTAACATGACTGTCTTATCAGTTATATCACCGTAACTGATATGGTTTTTTAAGTAAATCAACGCAACTTCAAGATTGAAGTCCATCGTCCAGACGAGACTCTAGGCTCCTAATCTAGGGTTAAGGCATTAAATGAGTGCTGGTATACATATTTTAACAATTTATTTAAATTAAATTAATTAAAACCTTTAGAAGCTTTTCTCAATATTATGTAAGTATCAAAAAAAAAATTTGTATAAAATCTACTAGAAATGGAAGTTTCGCCGCCTATAGAAACTGTATATGAAGCTATTTATGCGCTATATAATCAAGGTAATAATCCGAGCGAAAAACAGCAAGCTTCCAATTGGCTAAATGAAATGCAAAAATCTGTGAGTATCCTTAATTCATGATATTTAGTAAAATAATTTGTATCTATTGAAATAGGTTTTTGCATGGAAAATTGCTGATGAACTACTTGCAAGAAAAGTTGATAAAAACTCATGTTACTTAGCAGCACAAACAATGCGTTCAAAACTACAAAATTCATTTCATGAATTACCTCAAGATTCGCATGCATCATTAAGAGATGCGCTACTTAATCATTTATCGAAACTTGATGATTCAACAGAATGTGAAATAGCTACTCAAGTAAATATTCTATAATTAATTTTTATTAAAAATCTTTTAATAACTNTATATATATATATATTTATGTTTGCAAGTACATAAATAATTAGTTTCTAGATGTCAACTAAAGTAATTTTTTTTTTAGTTATGTGTTGCATTAGCCCATCTTGCTCTTCAAATGGGCTCATGGAAAAATGCAGCTGTTGATATTGCTTCAAGATATAACTCATTAAAAACATGTTTTATTCTTGAATTGTTGACTGTATTACCTGAAGAAGTTAATTCGCGAACATTACGTTTAGGAGCCAATCGTAGATCAGAAATTTATACAGAATTTAGTGAAAATTTATCTTCTGTTAACCAACTTCTTGAAATGTGTTTAATGTCTGAACCAAATAATGAGCGTGTGAAAATTAGAACTTATAAATGTTTTGCATCTTGGTTAAACATTAGAAGTATATCTCTATCGCAAGTTTGGAATAGTAGTGTTCTATCAAATGCTTTTAATGTACTATGTTGCTGTGATGTAAGTAATATAAAGTTACTCATAATTAAAATTATTTTTTATTTATTAGAATAAAAATTTGTACGTTTTAAGTTCTATAAATGAGTTTTCTATGTGGGGTATAGAATTAACTATGTGAATTTCAAATTAATTAGTATATTAACATATTTTAGGGTTCAAATATGGTTCAGGAAGCAGCTGCTGATGCAGTAATAGCATTTCTACAAACTTTAGATGATAATAACAATCAAGATGAAATACAAGCTGAAATTTTAAATTCAGTCGGAAGATTAGAACAAGCTTATATGCTATCTGTTACCAATGAAGACTTAGATAGGTAAATACATTAGAAAATGAAACTTACATCTATTTTATGTATCATTTAATATACTAATAAAAACTACTATTTTTAGAACTGTTAATTACTGTAGAATTTTTACTGAGTTGTCAGAATCATTAGTAACAACTATGATAAATAAGAGTCTTGGTGCTAACTGTCATCCACATTTTACTATCAAAGCACTAGATTTAGTTATTTTATGTGCAAATCATCATGATTATGAGGTCAGTGTCTGTTTAAATCACATTATAAATAGACTTAAGAGTCTATTTGTTCTTTATCTTAAGAGTTAATTTTGAAATAAAATGCACAAATAATATAATTTTGTAAATAATAACATTGGCTATAAATTGGATTTTGATTTTATAACAATTGTTTTAACTATTCATTAAGGTTATTAAATATAGATAAAAAAGGAAATATTTTTGCACTAAAAAAAAATTAAAATATTGTATTTAAAAAGATGTTGTAATTTTAATAATATATATATATAATACTTTAAAAAAATGTTTAAAACTATGATTAACATTGTAGTTAATAGATAATATTGATTATCATGATAATTATCTTATATTCGTGATGATGTAATTTAAATCTAGTAGTAAATTATACAATGTTTATAAACTCAAAGCATAGTTGTTAATCATTGTTTTATAAATAATTATTATTAATATATTATTTTGAATAATTTTTTTTTTAACATAAAAGATTAAGAAGTTTTATTGTTTTGTGTTCTACAAATAGCATATCAAATGTATTATTAGTTTACAAAATGTTTTGTTTAATTATCACATAGATTCAATATCTACATATAAATTAGTAATTTTTAATTAAACATTAATTAAATTAATTTTTTTAAATATTCCTAATGAAATTATTAATAAAATATACATTCAAAAAGTTAAATTATTATCAAGTTTACTTAAAGGTTCATATTTTACAGGTTTTATTAATAACATTCAATCTTTGGTTTCGACTATCTGAAGAATTATACAAAATACACAATGACAATTTAACTGAATTATTCAAACCATATTTTGAACAATTAATTAGTGCATTATATAAACATTGCATGATTGAGACTGACCATGTAAGCAGTATTACAATTTTTGATTGAAATAATTGTTTCTTATTCAATTTGTATCATAGGAAGGGTTATTAGATGAAAGTGTAGAAGAATTTGCAGATTTTCGTTTGAAATGTTCAGATTTAATTAAAGATGTAGTTTTCATTGTTAGTTCATCAGCTGTTTTTCAACAAATGTATATGTTACTACAAACAGCATCTACCTCCAATGTTACTTGGGACCAAATGGAAGCCGCATTATTTATTATGCAAGCTATAGCTAGGAATATATTACCGTAAATATTTATCTAAAAAAGTAAATATACAAAATGGTCTACAATGTTTCATCAAAACTTATTTTTCATGAATCTAATCTAACTTTTTATACAAAAAATACTTTACCTTACTTTTTTTCTTTAATAATCTTTTCAGTGTTAGACTGTGTTAGTAGCATGGTTTTTATTATTTGTTTCTAAAAAAAATTTGTTGATAACAACCTAATTTAGTTACTAGTATTTTAATACACAGAGTGAGTATATGGTGTAGAGAAAGTGCATATGATAAGTGCAACAGTATGAACTGTATCTAACCGCACTACATGTTCATTCAATATATTAAAATATTTATAACTAAATAACTAGATATCATAAAGTTGATATCAGCTCATCAAACTTTTTGTCAGAAATATGTTAAAAAATGGCTACTTTGAAATTTCAAAAATAAAAATATAGGGAAATATTTTTTTTTCTTATTAAAAAAAATATGCTTTTAACATAGTTCAATACGATAAGAATTATTAAATAAGAATAATAATACAATGTTTTTGTATCAAAAGTTATTATATTTGTCAAAACATCCAGGACCACTCTGTATATATAAGTATATATATATATTTTACATTTATATTTTTCTATAACTGTAACAAACTTATCAGGGATGAGAATGAGGTAGTCCCCAAAGTAGTTGAAGCAATACTAAATATGCCTGACACTGTTCATATTAATATGAGGTACACATCAGTGATGCTTTTAGGAGAATTATGTGAGTGGATTTCGCATGAAAGTCATTCTGAATCATTAGGTAATTAAAAAATGTTTAATTATTATTTTGTAATATCATATTATTCAATTATGACGTGACTTTCTAGTGATTTTCCTAGTATTCTTTTATAAAAATTTTCTTTTCATTGACAGCTTGAGTTAATTAATGAATATAATAATTTGACCTGTAAAATGAATAGTTTTGTATCATATATCAATTAAATTTATTTAGTTGTTTACTATTTTTACTAATTTACTTTCTTATTTAATTATAATTTTTTTAGAACCAATATTAAACTATCTACAGTATTGTTTAAGACAGCAGAATCTAGCTGCAATTACTGCTAAATCATTACATAATATATGCACCACTTGTCGTCATCATATGGTGAAGCATCTTAGTGGTTTAATTGAAATTTTAAAAGTAGTTGATATGTTGAATTTACCTAATGATGTTGCGATTGGACTACTAAAAGGTATTTAGAAAAAACATAAATCACATATAAAAAATACAAAAATTACTAAATATGTATTATTATATGTTATATGTTATATATATATATATATTAGGTGTTTCTGTTATTGTTGCTGAAGTACCCGAAGAACATGTTTACAAAGCAATTAAAGAAATTTGTTGGAGACAGTTAAATCCATTGCTGACACTTGTAGAGGTTTTTATAATTCATGCTTTTATTAACAATATACAATTATTTACCACCCAAAACATCAACTAAGATATTAGATAAATATAAAAAAAAAGTTATCAGATTAATTACTGTTAAAAATATCTGTATTAAAGGGGACCTCTGCTACTACATAATTTATACTTAGTTGATTAACACAAATGATTTTGTATCAATCAATTTATTAAAAAAAATTAATTATAATTAAAGATGGACTAATAATTATTAGTTCATTTTAATATTCAATAACCTTCTTCTTTTCCCTTGCCTTTATCCCGACTTTTATTTATTTGACACAAACTCCCAAATCTATTTATACACCAGTAGTTCTCATATCACCCCCAATGACGTCTAACTTTTTTTCGTCTTCCCTTTCCTTCAACATTCATTCCAGAACTCTTCTTTCAGCTTCTGATTTTTATCTCTTCATAATATGATAATACCATCTATGCTTATTTTTTCTTATCTTATCCACGATTGACTCTACTCTTATGTTTTTCTCATTAATGCCCATTTTAAAACCTCTCTCGGTGCTCTATCATACGCTTTCTCCAAATTTATAAATACCATACACAGCTTTTTCTTCTTTTTCCTTTACTTTTCTATTAGTTGTCTCTCACAAAATAATAGTTTCATTGTTGGCATACTAGGCATAAATCTAAACTGGTTTTTAGATACCAATGTCTCATTTCTTAGTCTATTATTTATTACCTTTTCCCAAATCTTCATATCATGACTCATAAGCTTTATACCTCTATAATTTCTACACTCCTGTTTATTTCGTTTGCTTTTAAATATTGGCATCATAATACTATTCCTCCATTCTTTTGGCATTTTTCCTTCTTAATTTTATTAAAAAAGTTATTCATCTTCTTTGTGCTTAGCCCTCAATGGGCTTATAAAGTGTAAAAAAAAAGAAATTTCTTTGTTATCCTAATCATTTGTTGACACACTCTTATCATTATTTTTTATGCACCATACATTTTGAAAATCTTTGGATCATTTTTTTGTAACCTTAACCAATCTATAAATTTCTTTTTTACCTTTCTTTGTTTTTGACTTATCGTACAACTCACCATACTCTACCCAATCTTTTTTTCTTCTGCTCTTTTGTCATAATTTATATTACATTTTTTGTTTGCTATAATTATCTGACTTTTCTTATTCCACTATCATCTTTTTATTCTGAAATTTTTTCCTACTTTTACCAATAATATCTTTTGTAGTATTTTTTACATAAGCAGCAATTTCATTCCACACATTATTTATATTTCCTTCGGCATTACAAACTATTCTTTCTTTCACTTTCTTTAAGAACTTTTTTCTTTTTCTTCTTAATTTCTACCATCCAATCCTCAATTATCTTCCTGTATTCTTACTATTTTTTCACACATTCTCTCCACTTAACCACAACTTTATGGTCATCAATCTATGTTGTGTTATCATACCCTCGCCAGGGATAATCTATTACTTGCTTTATATTCTATCTCTTTCACATAAAATAATTAATCTGTGATTTATTGATCTCACTTTAATAAGTTATGCTCTTCCCTCTTCCTAAAATAGGTATTAACTACAGCAAGATCAGTAAGAACTTCTTATCTCTACTCCTACCAGTAAATGTTTTAATATTTTATGCACCTATTTTTACTTTATACCTATCTATTGCATTAATACTCAAGTTTAATCTATATCTTTAGATTCAATAATAATTAATTTTATTGTTTTAGTCTACTACTGAAAAAACTGTTCCTGAAACTAATACACCATCAGATCCTATTTATTGGCTTGATAGATTATCAGCAGTTTTAAGACATTTAGTAACAAAAACTCATTCTGAAAAAGATCCATGTGTTGTTGCTGTAGTAGAGGCTTGTATTTTTTATTAACTCATATTCTGATAAGCAATACTCATATTTTTTCTATAAATATATTTTTATTGTGTAGATGTGGCCATCTATGTCGAAAATATGTAATAGATATAAAACAGACTTTCGAATAACGGAACATTTTTGCCGTTGCCTTAGATTTATGATAAGATTAGTGAGTCGTTCAACTATTGCTCTTTTAGCTCCAATTGCAGAGCAAGTGTGTATATTCAAAACTTTTATTTATTTAATAATTATAATTCTAAATAAATAATAATTTGAAACTAATCAATAATGAAATTTTCATCAAAATTTAGATGGCATTTTTGTACAAAGAGTATCATCATAGTTGTTATCTATACATTGGGTCAATTTTAGTAGATGAATATGGTTCGAAATTTGATAACCCTTTAGTCATGACCCAGTGTCATTCAATTTTACTAGAAATGATTGATGCATTTATTGAACCAGCATTCCGATTGTTTAGTGAAAAAGATGGTCTGCGAAACTATCCTGATACTGTTGATGATTTTTTCCGTTTAGCATGCAGGTAATTTAATTTTGTATCTAGAGGTTATTGAAAAATAACTATTAAGATTTTTTTTAAATTTTGTATTAAATATAAATTTTTAGATTTATTCAAAAGCTTCCTATGCCTTTTCTGCAATCACCTGTATTGGAAAGTGTTATAAGATGTAGTATTATGGCAGTATCATTAGACCATAAAGAAGCAAATGCTTCTGTAATGAAATTCCTATTAGATTTGCTTATATGTGGCAAATCAAAAAAAGTAATTCAAAGTTTTTTATAGTTTTCAAAGTTTTAATGATGATTGTCTTAATATTAAAAAAAATATTTCTATAGGATAGTTCAAATTATGAGGAACGTAAACAATATGTTACCACAATTGTTAATTCAATTGGAGAACAATTAGTAGAAAATTTAATTCAAGCTAGTGTATTTTCTCTACAAACATATATGCTTCCAGATGTTATTGATGTTATAGTTGAATTAATAGCATATGATAAAGATGTAAGTAGTAAAAAGTATTCCTATCATTAAATTATTAACCTAATAATTTGTAAATGATATTTATATTTAGCATACATTACAATGGCTAAATAGAGCTGTAGAGAAATTGCCAAAGCAAAATTCTGCTGGTTTAGTTACAGCAACTAATGAACAGTGTTTACAATTTTTAAACTCATTTCATAAGTAAGAGAATTTGGGTATATTAAATTATTTCAATTACAAATAAATTAAAAATTTAATATATTAGTACAGAATATTTAAATAAATTTCTAGTTTAAAGGAAATTCTTTGAATACAAAAATATTATTTTAAAATTTGTTGTGTAACATTAATTTTTGAAGCACAATTTTTAAATTGTATTTTATCATATTATTAAATTTTTATTTTAATAATCATTTTGTTTTATTGAATTTTACAATCTTTTTACATTATATTTAGTACAATAAGGAATTTTTTTAAGTCTATAATTTAAACATATTATTTTTATCATATTTTATAAATTAGCACATTTTTCTTTCAACTAAATATATTTAGTATCATTACAACATATTTATTAAAAATTGTGCATTTTATTAATTAAAAAAAAAATGCTAATTCATATTTTTTTATTATTTAGTTATGAAAATGAAGGAGAATTATGTCGTACTTTGCGAGAATTTTCAAGATATTTTCGGTAGTCATAACATAATATTTAATACTATTAAGCTTTTGTATTTGCTATTATTATATAATTTTTATTTTTTTTTAATTTGGACTTGTCTGTTTGAAGTATGTGTTTAACTTATAATGTTTTGGTTCAATTTTAAATTGCTTAGTTACTTATTAAATTAAATGTTGACATTTGATGACCACTTTTAATTCAGTATAGGGAGTATACTAATTTTCAATTTATAATTGTTATAAAAATACCTACACAAATATTGTTAAATAATTTCTTATGTAACATAGTCATTTCATTTTTTCAATAACATTGAAGAATTACTCTAGTAGTCTATTATATTTTAAATATATAGATAAGTGGTTATTTGTTTAATAATCATTGCACCAAGTATTATAATTGCAAATTTTTCGTGTTAATAATAATAAAAACATATTTGTGTACTTAAAATATTCCCATTATTATCCCTAAACATTTTATTCCTGTATCATGATTTCTAAATTAATTTTTTTTTTTATGGACAATACTAGACACAATAATTAAGTAATACATTTCACAGAGTATTAAAAAAATATATTAAATTACTGTAATAGACATTACAGTTTAATTAGGTAAATTAATTTATGTTCAAATTTAATGCTGTAAAATAGACAATAGCTTCGGTTAGGTATAATAATTATACAATTTTTCTTTAAAGAGTATTTACATTCGTTAAATGACAATAAATCTTTGTCTTGTTTAAAAAATAATATAGGACCTAGTCTGTATAACGTAATGAAAAATAATTGCTTTCGAATTATCAAAAAAGAATGAACATTTTAACTGATTAATCACTTTCTCGTAAGTAACCTTTCAAAAATTATATGGAGGTACCTACATAACTGATAATATGGAAGCTTTGAGCCGGTAATTTTTTCATGGCAGAGTATATCAAACAGTAATATAATACGACAAAACTAGGTGATAACACACTCTTATCTTTATTGGTAAAATGAATTAACAGAATTCTCTTAATATTCGTTATGTATTAATTGTTATTTTAATCCATACGTTAGAGAAGTAGTTTTTAATTTTAAATTAAAATACAATTGAACACAAATTTCCAATTTATTAGAAACTAAAGTAAAATATTTTCTCGATGGCTTATAAATTAAGTTCGGTTGTTTATGGTCATGTGTTGGATGTTCGTGGTTTAAGTTCAACCAGTAATGGATATATCGTGTCTGTATCTAGAGATAAAACGGCGAAACTTTGGAAACCAAATAGGTATTTAAATTTTTAACGTAACGAACTAAAAAATACATTATTGTATAATTAATATTGGTATTCTAATAATTCTTAATATTAATATTTTTGACTCGAAATTATAGTGAAAACGCAGGTTACACAGAGGTTCAGACATTTAGTGGTCATACTAATTATGTAGTATCTGTAACAGTTCTTAAAGAATCTAGTATTCTTCCTAGTGGTCTTATTATTACTGGAGGAAATGACAAGATGTTGTGTGGATTTTTACCTGAATCATCTGAACCTATTTTTGTTGAAACAAGACATAAAAATACTGGTAAATAAAACCTTTTTTTATTTTGTCACATTGTTTTTAGATTATCCACATAATATATAAAAGTATCAGAGAAATATAAATGCAGCTGAATATAATGGCCTAAGTAAATAAATACTGTATATTCTTTATTTATATTTATATTTACTTATATAATAATTAGCATAGAAATATTAGAAACAAAAAAATATATTTTTGTAAAAATCTTAATTCAGATGTTGGAATTTTACTAATTACTTTTAAAATTTTTAATGTTGAACAAAAGATTAAATATTTTTATTTTACACTTAATTAAAAAATATTCTTCGAATAATTCATGGTTTTCTTTTTTGTATATAGTGTGTAAAATTAACCCAGGTGTATTATTAAATACATTTATAAGCTCATCATGGGATTCTACTGCTATGTTATGGAAAGTAACAGTTGACTCTGATCAAACTTACCAACCAGTATTGTTATCAATTTTTAAAGGGCATACTGCAGCTGTTTGGTCTGCTATACAGTTGTCTTCAAAGTATGTGATTACTTGTTCAGCAGACAAAACAATACTCATTCATAATATTATACCAGGAGATCCTCAAAATTCATCTGTCATTATAAAAAAATTAACCGGTAAGTGATATAATTATATTCCAAAAATTAAAAAATAAAACTCTTGAAATCTGTTATTAGAAAATTATAATTCACATAATTTAATTACCTTTAAACAACTTTTAAGTTACTTTTAGTTAAAATTCTTAAAAAAAAACTATGCTTCTAAAATAAATAATTTTGACTTGTATCAATTTAAAAATTTATTTAATTTTTTTGTTCAATAATTGAAATTTGATAATTATAATTTCCAGGTCACACTGATTGTGTGAGAGATCTAGCAGCATTAAATACTGAAAGCAATGAATTTCTCTCATGTTCCAATGATGCTACAGTTATAAGATGGAATGCAGAAACAGGAGAATGTTTGGAAAAATTTTATGGCCATCCAAACTATATTTATTGGTAAATAAATTTAAAGTATTTCATTAACAAAAAAATTAAATTATCAATGAGTATTTAATTTATCACTATAAACATCAATGATCATAAAATTCATTATTTATACTTTTCACTGTTTAACTTTTGAAATTGAAATTTAAAAAAATGTATATAGTATAAAAGTAAGAATTAATCCTGGAGTGCAGTGGCGAGTTTAAAGTCCCTCCATTGACTAAGTTATGTAAATATTTTATTATATTGTAATAATGTATAATATCATTAGAAAAAGTTATTTTTTGGTTATCAATTATAATATGGGTTTATGAAATGTTAGTCAATATAGTTGTCTTGTAGAACAAAATTTGATGCCCGTACAATTGTCCTGTTAATGTTATCACCTATTTTTAAAGTGTTTATTATGTAGAGATACATACTGTATAAAAAGAAACATTTTTATTAATAAAAATTGATACAAAACAAATAACAGATTTTTTTTCAAAAAAATCTAAAATGTGTGTTAACAAAAACTATGAGCAAAAAGAAGTCATTTTATGGTAACTTATTCGTGAACATTTTTTGTACTCCCTCCCCCATTATAAATTTCTAAATATACTACTGCTTGAGTGTTCTTTTATTATTGTAAAACTTGGAATGTATTTAACATTAATAGTATTTAATAGCAGCTTGAATTTTTAGTCTTGCTGTATTTTCTGGCATTGATATGGCTAGTTCAATTGTAGTAACCGGTGGTGAAGATCGGTATTTAAATATTTGGATGTGTACAGATCAGCAAGTTATACTCCAACCAGCCCAAAGTATATGGGCAGTGACTATTCTTCCTAACAAAGATATTGTTGTTGGCTCAAGGTAAAATTCTGTCTTTATTTTTATTGTAGTAAGAGATTAACTTGTAATTCTGTAATTATGGGATATAAGTTTTACAATATAATTTTTGGAAGAACAAAATAAATTTCTCCTCTCCCAAAAAATATTTTCTTATAACAATATATATAGCATTTAACATTTATTTTTAAGAGATCTTGCTATCACAATTAATGGGAGTGTTTATGGTTTTTTTATTTAATATTTATGTCAAAATAATAATATCTACTGTATTTTTATAAATATAATTATATTATTAGAAATAAATTTCATTTAAATTATCATAATTTCATATGAACGTTTTATTATTAGTACTATTTCTTAAATAATTTTTGCTTAATTATCAAATATTTTGAGTAAGTTAATGGTTATGTATATGAATATATACATAATAAATTGTTATATTATGTATTATAAAATTATGTATATGTCTTAGGAATAACAGGAGGGAAAGCAGTAAATACATTGCAATGTATGGGATTTGTCGTATTGCTAACAAAAAATATTAACATTAAACATAATGTCTAATTATATTATTATTATTATTCTGAAAATTAAATTTTCAACTAGTGGACTAGTGGACTAGTGAGTTTTTATAACAGGACTAGAAACTGAACTAATTTTGTTTTTTTAAAAAATTTTTACCTTAGTTAATCTATATTAAATTTTTTTTAAGAATTTGTAAGGTTATTAATTGTAAAAACCGAAAATATTATGAAATAATTTTTAAGACCTTAAGAAAAAAGGTAAAGTCCAATTTAAATATAAATTAGTGATGAGAAATATCGAATAGAAACTATCGAAATATTCGATAGTTGTCCACTATTTGAACTATTCGATAGTCATTCAAAAAATATTCGATAGTTACACAATATATTCGAATAGTTTTAAAAACTATTCGAAAGTTTATGCTAAAAATAAACTATTCGGTTGTATAAAAACTATTCGAATAGTTATTCGATAGTTTTCAAAAACTATCGAATACTATTCGATAGTTTAAAATATTCGAAAATGCTCATCACTAATATAAATGAAGGTTTCAAAGGTGGTGTCTTATTATTTTAAATTTCTATAACCATTTTTGAAGATTTACTAAAAAAAAATTTGATATAACTAAACTAATGTACTAGTTATAAGAAAGATTTCCCAAAACCAAAATTATTTCATTTCCTAGTCATGTTTTATAGTAACTATATAATTTTTGTTAAACATTATTAAATGTTAATAATAATCTTTATGAAATATTGTAACCCATCTTTTATTGATCAATTATTTATTTTGCTTTGTTCTTTAAATTTTTTATAAACATTTGTGTTTACAAAGTATTATATGATACTATATATCTGATCGAAGTATTTTATTTATAGTGATGGTATAATAAGAATATTTACAACAGATGTTAATCGTCAAGCTTCTAGTGAAGTACTAGCATCATTTCAAGAGCAAGTTGACAATATTAACCAGCAAGCTCAAAAAGAAATTGGAGGAATCAAAGTAGAGAAGTAAAGTTTAATATTGAAATATAGTATAAACTTATTAAAGTTGAACCTACATTTTTATTTAGTTTACCTGGACCTGAAGTACTTTATCAACCAGGAAAAAATGATGGTCAAATAATCATGATAAATGAAAATGGTAAAGCAATATGTTATAAGTGGTTATCTAATGAGTGTAAATGGGATAAAGTAGGAGATGTTTTAAGTGCATCTGATCCTAATAAAAATATGCATAATGGAAAGGTATTTAATCATTATAGTCAATAAAATTATTTTATTGTGTAAATATTAAGATAACTTTTTTTTAGGAGTATGATTTTGTCTGGAATGTTGACATTGAGGATGGTGCTCCACCTTTAAAATTGCCTTATAATAAAGATGAAGATCCTTGGTCTGTAGCTCAATCATTTATTCATAAACATGATCTACCCCAATCATATTTAGAAACAGTAGCAAATTTTATAATATCAAATTCTAAAACTTCTGCTCCTACACTGTTACCAGCCAATCAAGATTATGTTGATCCCTATACAGGAGCTGCTAGATATGTGCCAACCTCAAATCCTACCACGTCATCTTCAAATGGCCAAGATCCTTTTACTGGACAGTCTCGTCATGTACCTAATACTCCAATCAGCTACAACACATTTTTTCCTCAAACTAGTTACCTTAAATTTGATCAAGCTAATATTTCAAGTATTTTCAGTAAGTTTATAATTGGAATATTAAAATTTTTAACCAATAATGAATACAACATTTGTAAATGTTTAGTGGATTTAAAAAAAATTCTTATATTTTTTTTCATAGTTTTGGTATATTTTAGGTAAAATTAAAGAGTTTAATCTAAAACTAGATGATTCCAATAATAAACTAGAAGACCACCAATTAGAATCAGTTATGAAAATGTGTAATGAAGGAAGTAATGTTGATGACACATCAATAAATATTCTAATTCATCTTCTTGACTGGCCTAAAGGTTAGTTTTCAGATATTATATTAAATATTAAAAAATTAAACACATTCCTATTCTAAAATTAAAAATCATTGAAAAATATGTGTTTGTAATTACTTAGACATTTTGTTTCCAATTTTGGATGTTACAAGATTAGCTGTGCGAAATAAGCATGTCAATGTTACTCTGTGTGCAAATAATTTGATAATGACAAAATTGCAACCTCATATCTATGATAATAAAGTACCTACTAATCAGATGTTAGCATTTAGATGTTTATGTAATCTTATGCAACACGAAGAGGGAGAACTTTTAGTTTTAAGAAATTATGAAGAGTTACTAACTGTTATTCAAAGTTTATCTCAAGTGAACCTTATACAAAAACATCTCCAAGTAAGAATTTTCGTTGAAATTTATTGATTTTAAATTTATCATGTTAAAAATTGTTTAATTTAAAAAAACCTAATTTCGGATGTTCTTCATTTCCTAACTAAAAATTGGCTTATGAATATATTTAAATTTCACAGTACATAAACCTATATGAACATTTTTTTGTCATTAAGCTAAACTGAAAATGTTTAAATTGAATTTATTAATGTAGATTAATTTTTTAATATATTATTTATTTTTTTAGATTGCTCTCGCTACACTACTGCTGAATTTTAGTGTTATGATTAAACAGTCTGATGATGATATTGCTATACAAGCAGTCAATAATGCTATTTCTTCTGTTTGTCCAAAACTCTCTGAACCTGAAGCTATATTTCGTTGTTTTGTTGCTATTGGAACATTAGTGATATTAAAAAATCAACCTGATTTATCAGAGCAAATTAAAGATTATATTGCTTTAATGGCTTCAAATTCAGAACCTTCTAAAGTGCTATCATGTTCTAAACATTTAATGAAATTAATACAAAAATAATGTATTTATAATTTGTGTATTTCATATCACAAATTAAATATTTTACAAGAACATATGTATGGTTATTTTAGAGGAATTATTAAAATTTATTATTTGATTTTTATCAAAACATAAATATGTTATTTTATTAAGGTAATACTGATTGTGTATGAGTATATTTTTAATTATATTTGTAAGTTGTAATATAATAAATTCTTTTGTTATTTTTTTAAATTTTTCTTTAAAATAATTTCTAATTTAATTTCAGGAGTTTCAACTCTTGGAAAAAGTAGTATATTTTTATTTCGTGGAGTAAAAGTTGTCTCGAACCATCCATATCTAAAAATGATGTTTCAAATATAATTTTAATTTCATTTTTTTGTAGAAACTTATGTTTATGTATGCGAATTAAAAATTATGAAGATAGAAAAATTAATATGAATAAGTATATTTTTAGGTATAATTAATATTTATAGACCATGAGGATTAATTTAGTTCCTTCAGATTAAAGCTATAATATTTCTATTTAAAATTCAATATAAAAAAAATATGTCTAAAAAAATAATTAATAACAAATATGTATTATGTTTTACTGTAAAAATGTTAGAGCTGTAACTAGAAAACAATTTCATACATTCCCTGGATCAAAATTTTGTGAACGCTTATAATGATGTTGGTTAACATCTTATACTACATATAAACTTTAATTTTAAATAGTTATCTAACTTTTGATTTTCAGTTTTAGGAGAATCATATTTATTTTTCGGACCCAATAATTTTGCTAACGCCAAAAGTTGTAAATAGTGTTCATGTGGATTTCCTTTGTTAATTGTTGCCTCGTGATATGCATAAAATTTTCCAGTGATTGGCGAAACTATTACGTATGATTCGTTAAGTTAAAAAATAGAGACAAAGTTATAAGATCTTAGATTAATGAAGTAGTTTAAGATGTAATACCTTTTAAATTTGGTCGAAATGTCGTATATACATTTTGAAATAGTTTTTCTTTTTTATAATGTTCTGCTAGGAGAGCGTGTTTTTTCATATTTATGAATAATATAAAGTATAAAAACTTAAAAAATGTATTTGTGATGTAGTAACTGTTCAAATGAATTATTGATAAATTTCCACGGAAACAGATTATGACATTACTTAAATAGTTTTTCGTATTTTACCAAAAACAATCCACCAAATAGCACAAGGCACAGAGAAATCACAAACAGGGGGGTTATCCCATTTTTCTACTTCAAAATATTTGATGGGTCATTTTTTAATAAATAAGCTTGTTACCGAAATAAACATTTTAAGTTAAGAATTAAAAAAAAAATGTTCAGTCAATAAAAATAATTTGTTCACGTTTAGTTAGTTTCGTGACGAACATTTATCAATGCCATTTATCGAAATTTTTATTTTGCGCGATATTCTGTGCAGTTGAGCACCTTACATGTCTCTCGTTCGAGTAATGGGTACACCCGATAATTGTGTGCATTGTGCATCACTGAGTTTGGAACGCCTAGTTTGAAATATTTTCAAAGATATGAGGAGAGAGTAATTGAATCTTTGAAAACGCATTTAATAAATAATTTAATTTAATAAAATGTATGTACCATATATTATCATCACCCTAGCTTTTATCCCAACTAATTGGGCCGGCTTTGCCTTAATGTTCTGAAAGGATTTTATATCGGCTGTCGACTTGACGCAACCTCATTATAGCTGAGGGAACTAGTATGGGGACAAGGCGTGTGTCATCGTTAAAGTTCCCGTATGATTACTCATCTAAGAACTAATAGTAAACAACGCAGCGGAACATCAGTGCTAAATTATGTGCTGTGCCACACCACGCCCTCTGTACCATATCATGAGTAGATATTTGGATCACCCAACTGAACAAGCCAGGCTGTCTAAAATTCAACCGACAAAAACTATAAAGACGTTTCGTCAATGTCGTCACAGTTACGACTTTCAAGACAATAATTTTCGTCTTCTAAATCCCTAGTACTAAGTTTTTAAAATTTGAACAAATTGGGCTAATAGTTATTTCATAGTGTCGCGTTTAAAGAAGTCATCACAAAAATAGCGTACTCTTCCTGATTCCCTGGTACTATTTTTCCCAAATATTTTATTTTTGATGAACAAGGTGTGTTCACGAGAAACCTTGGTGGTTAAGTTGCCTACACAAAACGCCTTACACCGGACCAACTTTAAAGTAATCTGGTTTTTATCAGTTTTATTCTTAATACATTTTCAATTTGTGTTACATAAAACCAAAGTATCTACTAAATACGTACATACGCATAACAAGTATTTTATTATATTTCCTATTTTATTAAAATATGCTCATAAATGTAAAAAAGATTAAAATAGGCGTAACTATATAATAAAAATATCACGAGGAGTTGAATACTTTTATTCTTCACATTAAAAATATTTTTATACGTCAGTAAATGTAATTTTCAAAATTATTTATTTTGGGAAGGGGAATACTCTTCAACTAGAACTCTGTGCATTAGGTATTCTAGTTGCTAAACAGTACTCAAGAGAGATTGAAAACTTTTACTTTTCAATAATTAATTTTTTTTCGATAAACCTGAACAATTTTTCCCACCTCATAGCTGATTTACGGAAGTAGAAGCAGATAATTAGTATTATAAAAGTTATAAAATAATTTATACTGTTTTTACAAGTAATTTTAAAAGTAAAAAATCAAATGTAGCTCATTCCCTAGAAAATTTCTCTTTCGATTCAGTATTGCTGTTTTCTGAGATAATTTATAGTATTCTTAATTAGAATAGTTTAGTTTAGTTTCTCTTTAACTTGAATTTTTTTTTTCAATTATTCAGTGAATTTCTTAAAGAGAGGAATATTTTCTATCGATATTTTACTAAAATTTCTGTTTAAAATGTATTTATTAACTATTATTATAAAAAACAAAGATATATTAAATAATAAGCGTTGAGTAAAGAATTTCCTTTTCGACTTCTTTTACAGTTTCATCGTCATCATCAACTACCACCTAAAATATATATATACTTTTAGTTGCCGTAGTAATATAAAATACATTTAATAAAGTAATATTATTCTAAATTATTACATCAGAGTATTTCAAAAATTTCTCATTGTTCTCCGGTTTTTTAAATAATTCTAAATACTTTCGACGTTCGTTTATAACGACATTTAAAAAACGTTTATGTTTTAATGCTAATTCTAATGCTCTACAACACAGAAAAACAATGTATGTAATAATTAATACTTAAAATTCTATTTAATTTTTATTTATTGTTAATTATTTTATAAATTTTTAATATAAATTAAATTAAATATAATATAAATTTTTAAATTTTTAAATTTTACCTACCTTACCCATTGATGTATTTTTATATTAAACATTATGGCTTTAAGGGTGGATCCACTTCTAAGTAGTATTGTCTCGGCTTCGTTTAAATTCCCACAAAGTAAAGCTAGCGAAGACTCGTTAATCGTTCTATCAGATGATTTCTAAGAACATGTAAATATAAATATGTACAATCACACGACCGATTGTAATAATTTAATAATGTTTTACCCTTAAATGTTGAATAAATGATGCACGTTCCATGTACCCAATCGAAATAAAACATTCTTCGGCTGTGTCCAATTGCTTATCCAAAACAGAATAACCCGCCAGTACTGCCCATAACGCTTCATTATTTATAGAGCGACATAAGGTACGGCATTCCATCCATTTACTTTTACTTATAAAACTTTTCAAGCTTTCCAAGTAAGGAGATATTTGAACAGTTACTCTAATACCTTCTTCATTAGTTAAATTTAATAAGTTATCTTCGAAGGATTCGATTTCTAAGTTGGAACCATAAATACTGAAAAAAAACATAATATTTTATGTGACGTCCAATTCATAATAAATTTTCGTAGTTAATTAATTTTTTTATGTCATCACCTTAAATCAATTTTCTCTATACTTTTTCGTGTGAGAATCGGATCATTGAGAAGCAACAAAGGGTCATACCATACAATTAAATTTGTATATTGCAAAGCTGCTAAAGATCCCAATTGTTCATTCCAAGACATTCCATTAAACATTGAACCTACAATTAGGTATGATACAATAATTTAATATCTTGTTAAAATTAATTGATTAGTACAATTTTTAGAGTTAATATTTCAATTTCAATTAAAATCTTAAGGTTTTTGTAATTATTTATAATGCTAATATATANTTTCAATTTCAATTAAAATCTTAAGGTTTTTGTAATTATTTATAATGCTAATATATATATATATATACAGGGTGTTCAGTAAGTCAGGAAACGGGTATCTATTGTTCTCATTGTTTGTAACAATGAGAACAATAGAAACCCGTTTCCTGACTTACTGAACACTCTGTATATATATTAGCATTTTAAATAGTTGTTAATGAATGCATACTAAAAAAAAAAATAGTACAATTGATCACTCAATGATTTATTAAAATAATTTAAATTGTCAACTATTAATTTAGTTACTCAATTACCTAATTTAAACATTTTGTAAGAGTCATTCTTTTCAACTTGAATGACACAAATATTCAAATTTGAGTCGATGATTGCTAAATAGTTTTTATCTTTAGTGTTCATCAATTGTAAGCTGTTAATAGGCGATTCATGTTTAAAAACTGGTAGCAAATTGGACGGAACAACCTCACACATGTTAACCACTAAAAAAAACTATCGTGTTCTTACCGTTTGTGCGAATGACAATTGCCTTAATTTATGAAAAGTTACTTTTGTCATTTAATTGATCTCTAATGGCCAATAGTTTACTAGACATGGAAACGTAGTTTTCTTGAATTCGGTCGCATTGCATGTTCGGCCATTTGGGACTTGATACCAATTTCCCATCGTACGAATAGACATTTACAGCCGAATTCATAAATATAGAAAAGTATCTATGAAAATCAATAATTTAATATAAAATAAATGCTCAGAAAAGTAATTAGGTCATATATCGTTACATATAATATTTCTAAAAATAATAGTGATATAACTAAAAAAAAAAAACAAATTTTACAAGAAAGGCAAAATAAAATTATATTCTATTTAATCATAAATTAATTTTTTGTAAGTCTATCTAGCGGAAATTATTAAAGCTAAATCAATGAAATATTTCTGGGTTAAAATTTAGTATTTTTTTCTTCGTATGTTAAAAGTCCAGTTGACCGAAAAGTTTTGGCCAAACAATCTAAGATAAATTTAGAATGAATAACTTTATTTCGTACTATTGATTAAATAATATTTTGTGTTAAAATTCTAATAAAGTGATATATTAAACGAGAATAAAGTATAAGTTTTCTATTATTATAACTGTATTGTTATCCAGTTAATACATTTATTATTAATAACTATATTCAATGGCGTATTTTATGTGCTAAACATACACTTATATATATAATTGTACTTTATAGAGCATAATAACTCGTACAAAAAGGTAAATTGACCTGAATGGTGACACATTTTACTATTTGAAGTACTTTGTGATTTCATGTTTCAATTAAAATTACACGTTATGAGATGAATTACTAATTTGTTACTCAATAAAGTGTAATAACGTATTAAGAATATTATCAATGGCAACGATTATTAGTTGAAACGGGTTTTCCAACGCTCTCTAGTAAAATATTACAATCATATCTTTTCGATGAGTAAAACTACGTACCTCGAAAAATGAATCGCAAAAAATCTACAAAAAATATGTAAATAAGAGATTCCTCAAATAAACATTTTATCGAGTTTATCTCAAAAACGTACATTTATTTTTCAAAATGTGTGACGATATCTTCATAAAAAATATTTATGATTTCGGAAAACTTTTCTGGCGTTTATCACCTGCGTGACAAATTACGCTTCTGAGTTATGATTAATTTTAAATGTTATTTTTGTTAAGAAGTAATCAAACTTAAAATCGTTTTTACTTCAATTCAATCTCTTAAAACATTTAAATTAGCACTGAAACGTTTAATGTAATTTTCAATAGTCTTTGGGTTGCATTTACCTATCTGTTAAAAGTACTCGAAGAACGTTTTGATCTTTTAAACTGATGATCTGTGGAGTATTAAAGTTAGGTATCTTGTACAGGAAACATTGCGAACATGTTGTAACCACTAAGTTATTATGGTTCAACACAACTTGAATGATTCGTTCGGGGAAATCAAGATTTTCTTTCGTTTCGTTTAGTATATCTTTGACTGTCATTGTTTTACGGGACTTTACCAAACATTGTATATTTTTGTAATAGTAGCTTCTATATACAAAAAACGCAGGTTTTAAAAACATTCATCGATAAATATAAAATTAATTTATGTAGCTGTGATTAATACCTATTTATAATTGTAGAAATCAACAGTTTTCCATCGGCACAAGCTGCTGCAATTTGAGTATTATCCGGAGACCAACTAAACATACGAATACTTCCGCAATCCGTATAGTTAATCGATTGAATTACCTGTACATTGAACAGTTTTTTAAGACAATACATTATTAATTTTATTACTATAATGCAATGTTTCCTACTCCGTATCGATTGCAGAGTAAAATAGTATTGAACGACCCAATGAGTAATAATTTACCATCCGCTTTCCAACTTGTCGAAGTGACTGGATACTTTAAAATTTCACTTACATACACTGAATTTCCATAAGAATCCCAAATCTGAAAAATATGACTATAAATGATTCTCGAACAGTAACAACCGTAATTTACAATAATCATAATCTATTTACAGAGTTGGGATGGTTGTTTTATGAATACAATTTCATACTTAATATTTGTATGCTTTCTTGTAGTGTTACTGAACACTAATAATGTTACTATTTTAATTGGTTTTATAAAATTATACACCTACATTATAATTAAATATTCAATCATAGTATGAAAGTTCAATTTTCCTAATAACTATGATATAATAATAAAGTAAAAAAATAATTTAAATTAAATTATAAATATTTAACCTTATAACAACAATCTTCACCTCCTGATACTATTATGTCGTTGGCTTTGCACCATGATACAGTTAATATAATGCCATCGTGTCCACGAACCTAATACATTAACGAAATAAGAAACTTGTAATTATACAGATAAGTCAAGTATTAGTTCAATTGTAAATAAATGTATTTATACTCTTATTGATTTAACATTTGGCTTCAATGATTTTATACATATTGAATCATGTTGTGTATAAACTATTTTAGACGAATCACAATTCCAATCAGCTGATATAATTGGCTCACCATTGACAACAAGTTTTGTTCTTAACATGCCAATGCGTGACCAAATTTTTATGCTACCGTCTTCTCCGGCTATCATTGAAAACTTTTAATTAAATGCACTTAAATATTAAGTATTAATAACTATGAATATTAAAATTTATTGACTAAGATTTTCATAAAAATATAAAAAATCTCGAATATTTACTAGTACCTTATAAATTTCAATAAAATTATTTTTTACCATTTAATACAATTTAAGTTTTCAGTTATTGTAAAAAAACATCAAGAACGCTGATTTTCAATAAATAAATAAATTAAACTTAATGTTTACCTGTAAATAGAGTAGACCCATCGGCACTCCATTTGCCAACTAAAATATTCCCTTCGTGGGCTTCAATACTTTTGTCAATTTTGGTTGGTTTATTCATTAAATGAAGACTGCCTAATTTATTTTAAATAAAAAAAAATTGAAAACTGTTTCTAGTGCTTATTATGCTTTAGCTTCGATACAAAGCTGAGAAGGTTGGATATTGTGAGAATATGTGTTTTTTTTGTCTTTTTATAAAAATTCTCTGCTCTCATTGAATCAATTAAAAAATGAGTATTTACATATAAAAACAAAAAAAAAATTGTTTTTAAATTATTACTGATATCGATTTTTAATATATCAAAAATACTTAGTACAACATATCATTTTAACCCATATTTTTAAATAGAATATTTTATGAGAATTAAAAAAATGGTATTGTTAAGATTAATATGCACTCAGGAAATTATATAACTATTATTTACTGTAAATTTATCAGAAAAACTCAATATTTCTTTTGCATTTTTATTGTAATAGATTACATAAATAGAAGTTATAGTAATCATTTCTAAGTAACTTTTATTGTTTAAAAAGATTCTACAATTGAAATATTCAGAAATTGATTAATTTTAATTATTCACTTTAACTAAAAGAAACAATCAAAATGTTGTTGAAAAAATCTATTCAATTAGCGTATTATAATATTTTAATAATTGTAAAAAATGTTGATTAAAATCAGATGAAACTAATAATAATTTTTTCTTTATTTATGATTTATGTAGCAATATGTTACCAAAAAAATTGGAATATTTTAGTATAGTAATAACTCACACAAATAAAGTAAAAAAATTGGAATTTTTTTCAATTTTTGAAAATAATACTTTAACTAGATAATAGTTCTGATCATTTGATGTATTGTAAATAAAATTTGGTTAAGTGAGAGCTGAGAAAATTAATGAAAGTCACAAAAAATCAATATAGTAAAATAATTTTAATATGAATAAGAAATGTTTCTCACGAGAGAAGACTACAGTGATGGGGTCCTTGATATTCATTGAAGTTATTGATTCTAAATGAGATAAAAATCAAATGAGTGAAACATTTTTTTCTAACTCAAAAACTTTTGTAAGGTATTTTAAAATAAAATACAAAATTGAGAATTTTAACACAAAAATAGTATAGTTTTGTGTTAAAATTGCCATTTTCATCATGAAGACGAAATAAAGTTAGACATTTTTTTTCTTCTTATTGAATTACATTATAAAAGCTTTAATTTAAGATATTTACAAACGAGCCAGTGTTTATAAAAAAAACATCATAGTAAAATTAATGCCTTCTTCTCACCTTCGTGTCGAAGCTAAAATGTTAATGTTGTCAAAAGAATTTAGTGAAACATAGCTATAAAAAATTGGTTTCATGTACTTCAAGCTCCCAAAAGATAGCAATTAATTGTTTAACAAAATAGTATAGGCTAACCGATTACAGAAATTTTGAGACATCAATAAATTGAATTACTATAATAATTATTTATCCATGTATTATTCTTATAATTCATAAGACTTGTAATCTAAAAATAATTAAGGAAATAAGAGTTCATGTTGCTTTTGTATAATTCAAAATTAATACTGAAACATGAACACTATCTACTGATTTGCATTGAATCGTTTTTTTATAATAGAGATGATAAATCTGTCACATATCATTTATCCCAACTATGCTGCGTCACAATTATGCTAGATTTTTGGCTATAAATCTTAAGGATAGACTTTACTACAAAATTAATGCGTTTTTGAATGAAATAGATTAGAAATAAATAAAGAAGAGAGTGGAGCATATTTTTGACTACTATGAGATATTTTCAAGTTGATAATTTTAATCTAAAATTTAAATAAATGTCAAAAAAAGGAGTTTTTTTTCTGGTATTTTTTTCAATAAAGGGTTTGAAGTCGTTTTATTTTTAAGATTGTGATTTTGGGGTTTTGTGTTTATTTTGGTATTGCCAATGGAATTGAATTGAAGAGGAGTGCGAATAAAAGATAATATATTTATGAAAACGATAAACTTTTTCCGTAACACATCAGATGTATTTTACAAGTATATTATCAAATAAATTATTATTTTAACAAACTTCAATATGCTCACATTTTCTAAATTTTTCAAAAAATAAAATATTTTACCATAATGCAACTTGCAACCAATATTTTATATTATAAGTATCATAATATAATACTAATAAATATAATATATTAGGTATGGAGGGGCAGAATGATCTAAGTACTATGTTTTTTTTTGAAAATAAAAAGAAAGTCCAATAAAGAGATATAAAAATCTCTGCCGTTGAGTACTCGTTTTTATAATTTACAAATAATTATTGAAATTGGTTTTCTTTTCATAGTATTGAAGTGGGTATGTAGATAATTTTGATTAAGTAAAGCTGTTTTTAATTTTTTAGTATGTAGATCATTTAGCTACCCATGCCTCATATTTAACAATTTTTTATAAGCAAACCATTTGAAGAAGTTAATAGAATTTGTTCTGAACCGGTAACCTTATTTGCTTGGCGTTGATTAGTAAATATTACATCCAAGTCAATTGGTGATGAATTTTCTGGCAAACTACATAATTTTATTTGTTCTCGTGTTGTTTGATTCCATTTATACAACATACAATCATCTCTAGATAAAAAATAGAATCTTTTTATTTAGAAATCATATTCGATGGTATAATGAATTCAATTAAATTACATTGATTTATAATATTTTAGGGTTGATGCATATGAAAAATTGTATAATAGGTAGTTATTATTATTTTTATACTATATTTAATAATTTATTTAGAAAAATTCCAACCTTCCAACCAAAATTTCATAATTTCCAATCCAAGAAATGCATTCAACAGAAGATGATATATTATCTTCTGAAATTGTTGATTTTAGACGCATTTTACTATTTATATTAAAATAAATCAATGAAAGAAAAAAGTACTTCAACAACTCAAAAATAACTAAAAACTAATCGTTTCAATTTAATAACAAATATTTATGTGTATTTCTAGTCGTAGCTTTGGTTCATGTATAGTTTAATATGTTTACTATACAATAGTTTGTATGAAAGTAACTATGGTAACGTAATCAGATAAATAGAGGTTTGCGTGCTGCTTTTTATAGTTCAACCAGTAAAGAACACTGGTGTGACAAGTTTTTTATCAAGAACGACAAAATAGTTTGAAATAAATCAGTGGTGTAAATATTGTTACCCACTGATTTTTATTAAAATGTTTGCAATATTAACATTTTAATATAACTATTATTATGCATAGCTAGTATTTCTTTTATAAGTATATTTGCACTTGAACGAATATAATATAATTTATCTCTAAAGTTTAGAAATTCATTATTTTTTAATTATAATTTTTTATAAATAAATGTGTAATAGAAGGTTTATTATTTATAAAGTAAAAAAAAATGTAATGTTTGGATTTTCATATCGGATATTTTGATTTTGTGATTATAATCATAATAATAATAACATAAATAGTATTACTATAGACTCTATAATTATGATTATGAATTTTCCTCTTTAAGGTTTCTTTTTTGCTAGTCAAAAAATTCAATTTTTAATAAGAAACAAAAACCTATGCAAATTTATCTATAAAAAAATAATTTAATCTTGATTCAAAATAATTGTGATAAAAATTAACTTGTATTCAAAAGTTTCTATTTTCTACAATACATGTAAACTTTAAATATAACTTATTTTTAGTTAACATAAAAAAAAATATTAGACTCTATTATAGATAAAAATTTGACAGTAACGTTATTATCATAAAAACATTGATGCTAATGTTTATATAGAAAAACAAAAAAAACACCGGTTTGATTATAAATAGTATAAATAATAAGAAAACTAAATTTTACCATAATTATTGTTTGAACGCGGGTTCATTAACGTTCGTGGTCTTAAGACTTTAGCTATGTCGTGGAAAAGGAATGAGGTGAGTGGACTGTATGTTTGAATGTAGAATGAATTTTACAATATATAATTATAAAAATTAAATGTATTATACAAAAAATATAAAATTTTATATACACCAATGTGGATAGGGGGGACACTTAATACTAATGCCACAAAGGCGCTGATATAAACAAATAATAAAATATACAAGTTAGTAAGTCTTAGAAAGATAGATGAACAAGCATTACACTCATCGGCTAAATGAAACGGCTGATGATAATATGGTTGAATATTGAAAGTCTCAATTAAAGTCGATTGCAAGTAGCTGACCAACGTGTACGATATGCTGTGAACGGTACTGTGATGTATCTCAGAAAATATATAGACCCAACAGCGATAAACTGAACACACAGGGTGCGAAAATCGCAAAAGTGATATTTTTCTTTTACAACAAAATGAATACAAAACTACTAGCTCGCAAACACTATAGAGCTTAAAGCAGAAGGAGCGTTAAGATGGCGGCGACATAAAGACATACAGAGAAGACCGACAACAACTCGATGTAACACAACGATAACATGAATAATCACAATACAATTTCTTGACAGCATATTCGACCAGTGTGTATCCAACAATTATATATTCATAATTAATATTATATACTTTTCTGTGTAATTTAACAAATTAGGAAACTTGTTTTAGTTTTATAAAAATGCAAATTATTCATGATGAAAACAGCAAATTTATATTTTAACGTTAAAAAAACTTAGTACATCTGGGCTCACCACGAAATAATTCGACATAGTTAATTCCAGTATAGATTGATAACAAACAGTGATTTACATCGTCACATTTATCATAAAAACTCTTCAATGTGATTAATAAAAAAACTCAGCACAGAGGGATCGCCGAACAGTGGTGACGTAGCATAGTTGGATCAAGTATAATGATATCTGACAGTGATTAAAATCACTATAAAAAAAAAAAATACTTCGATGCAAATCTTAGATAGTATTTAATTTTAAAAAATTGGTGGATTATTCCAAAAGCTACATGATTTGCTATTTATTTATTAATTTCCTGATTAAGATTAAGTATGTCGAATGAAAAAGGGATTATTAAAAAATATTATTTCTCATAAAAAATTGTGTTGATCCATACACTTTTCAATAAGTTATAGTATTATAAAGTTAAAAATGTAAAATATGAAATCGAGAATTTTTATACAAAAATAGCATTTGGTAGTGAAGACAATCTAAAGTCCAAAATTTTTTTTTTTTTCATGATAAAGTATATTACATTATATTTTATTTAAGATGTGTATAAAAGTGTCAGACTTTCCAGAACACTTTCAAAAGTTAAGTTGAAAAAGTAAATTTTTTGTGAAAAAGTTGTCATTTTAAATCCTCCCAGTGGGCAGGTTATGTGTCAGATTTACAAAAAAAATATACCAAATGATACGTAAAGATATTATGCATCTATAAAAAAAAATTATATTGATTTGTTTATTTTTGAAAAAGTTATGGAAGTTTTAAGTAAAAAAAATTGAAAAATTTTTGAAAATTAGCGATTTTTAAATTTGTAGTTTTTTTGGAGGTTTCTCCCATTTACGGGGAACGAGGGATTTTTTTTCAATTTTTGAGAGTAATGTCTTCGACTAGATACGATTTGTGATCTTTTGACGTATCGTTGAAAGAAATCCGTTCGTTGAAAGCTGAGAAAAAGTGGTAACAGACACAAAAAAAACACATCACAGTAAAACCAATATCTTCTCAGCTTTGCATCGAAGCTAGAATAAAATTATGAAAAATATGTTTTATTTTGGTAGTTTAACAACTTTAATAGAAAACAAATTTTGGAAAAGTTTTTTTTAAGCCATATTATAAAAATTTAAATAGCTTTAATTTTTTGTGTCTTAGATGATGAAGAGTTCTGTAACATTTAAAATAATTTTTTTTTTATCAACCGAAGGTTTTGATGACAATGTTTTGTTATTTTATTACTATGGTTTCTTCATTTTAGCTTTCCAATGGCTTCTTATATTTTAGAGTTTCTACGGCTTCTTCATTTTAACATTTCTATGGCTTCTTATATTTTAGAGTTTCTACGGCTTTTTCATTTTAACATTTCAAAGGCTTCTTCTATTTTAGCGTTTCTATGGCTTCTTCATTTTAGCGTATCTATAGCTTCTTCTATTNATGGCTTCTTATATTTTAGAGTTTCTACGGCTTTTTCATTTTAACATTTCAAAGGCTTCTTCTATTTTAGCGTTTCTATGGCTTCTTCATTTTAGCGTATCTACGGCTTCTTCTATTTTAGCGTTTCTATGGCTTCTTCATTTTAGCGTTTCTACGGCTTCTTCATTTTAGCGTTTTAGCATTTGGGAATAAACATCTACTTACTTATTATAGATAATGAGAGAAAAAAAAATGGCTCCCTATTTTTTTTTTTGAAAAATTATGGAATAAAAAAAAGACGTTACAGGAGGTTTAAATATAGATGACTGCCCTTAAGATTATAAATTTTATTTCTAAAAATGTCCATAAAGTACGAAAAAAGAGAATGAAGTCCATTGGAAGTAATATGTGTCTGATAATTTTATTTAGAAAATAAATCTACTTCAAAAAATGAAGGAAATAATGAATTTATAATTAAATATTCAGTATAAAGAAGGTAAATAGCGTTTGGATTTCAATCTTATAAATTCTAAAGGATTTCATGAGTATGAAAGTTTTGCCATCGATAGACACTTTTATCCTTAGGTTGCAAACACCCACTTTTCTCTATTTATTTTATATAAATTGAATAATTAGAATAGAATAATAAATTAAATTATTTATATTTTTTATATAAATATTTAGAAAAAAATTATAAAATTACAATTTAAGTTTATAATAAAGCATTTGTTTATGTAATACTATTTTAAAACAATATTTAAAGTTTACATTCAACCATTTTGTCTTCTTTTATAAAAAAATGACAAACTAAGGATCCAATAAATAGTAATCCAAGAAACGTGTAGTAACCAGCATAAATAATAAACTGTAAGAAAAAAATATTTCATAGACATATTTACTTAATATATGCATTAAATATTTCAAATAATTTAAGCTCAAAGAGTAATACGTTTTAGTGATTAATAGTAATTTTGAATAGTTAAATATTTTGTTTTATTATAATAAATAAAAAAATTATTTAACCAAATATACTTATCTCTTTAATTAAAAATGTTCATATAAAAGAAAATAATAATATTTACTTGTTGAGCTACTGTGACACTAATAATATGTCCTTGGACCATTCCATAGGTCATCAATGTATGTAAAAAGAGAGCTATAAATGAATTAAATCCAAAAACTAATCCATAGCTATCTTTTCCTAATCGTTTCGCTACTTCAGATCTAAAATATATATCTAAATATTATATCTTTCATTCTTAATTATAAGTCATTATAAAAAGATCTGGTTTGTGTTATGTTGTATAAATTAATAACACTTACTCAGCAATTGTGAGCATTGTTTGATAAAGGCAACCATAAATTATGTAAAAAGTGTAAATAAACCATAAATTTTTTGAATAGTAACAACAAAGTAAAACTATCCCGGCTAATATTGAACCGATTGCAAAAAATGCATCTCCGACATTGTACCAATTTAACTCTAGTCTACCGATTGAGTAAGCAGAGATAGCTCCTAAAAGAAAATAACAAAAAATCAAAAGAAAAATATAATCAGCTACTTAGATTTGAAAAATAGTGAAGTTGTACCGATTAGGGTATTTAATGATTCTGCAGCACCATTATACAAAGTAAAATCCCCATCATTATTTAAATTTAAAACATATGTGTACAAAACGTTGATATACGTATAAACCTAAAATATTTTTATTAATTAAAAAAAATGTATAAATTTTATTTTATATTAAGTTGATGTATTTTACTTGAACGTAAGCACCAAAAGCTAAAGCCCACCAAAAGCATAATTTAACAACGTAAGGATCCGAATAAGATTGTTTGAAATCATTCCAAAGATGTAAAAACGCTTTTTTTAAATTCACATTTTCCCTTTTCTGGACTTCTGTCTAAAATATATAAATATATCTATGTATTTGATTTATATATTTTTTTAACTATTACCTTTTTTTCTTGATTCGCCTCATGTATTTTTTTTGGTGAATTTTCTTCGATATTATTTTGCGGATGAGAAGTTGATGATTTTGCTGCAGATTGATCAATACATTTTGAATTCATAGTATGGAAATATACACTGTGCTTTACGGAAGGCATTAAAATGGCCCACACAGCACAGAATAGCATACCTAAAATTCATGACAATATTTTTTCATAATAATTCATACATTATATCTTTGAGTCCATAAAAAAGAAGTTTAAGACGATTTTTTTCACTTATTATTAATTATTAGAAGTGTGTTTATCTCAGATTTGTACTACTTAGAATATTAAATACAGTAAAATTTAAACTAGATACAATATCCTTAAAAAAAGTTGGAAATTTGACTTAAAAACAAAGATATAAAAATTTGATAAAATCCTATTTAATTATATAATAGTAAATGTTTACCAAAAGAACTCATGTATATCAACGCCAAAAAAGGTACGGAGCCGCCATTTATAAGACTTATGGACTGGGACAACAGTGATGATATAAATTTTCCAGAAAGACATGCGGCTCTAGCTTGGCCAGTAATCCTTTGATAATAACGTTTGTCTTCTGTCATTGCATATAAATAACCGAAATAGGCAACCTCAGATGAGAAGAAAAATCCATAAAATACTTGACCTATCTTTAAAACACAAAATATGCACCTTGTAATTATTTTGATTTTGATTTTTATTTTTAAAATAACAGTACAAAATGAATAATATTTACTTGCATTCGTAAAATGCCAGGAGTACCAATGATATTGATATAAGTAACTAAGCCGCATAAGCCGTCAATTAATAAAATTGGTTTGTATTTTACATAATCAGTAATTAAAAAGACAATAATAATTAAGACAAAACACGAATATGCTCCTATTGAATAAATATCTTGAGATATCTAAAAAAATAAATATATTTTAATCAAAAATCTTTTGAATGTATCTTTACATTAAAAATCCATCACATTACTATTAAATACATATATTTTATATAATATTTGTATAACTCATTTTGTATATTTTACAGTATTAGTAATTCATTTTTTCTGTAAAGAAAATATTTCAATTTTTTTGATAATTCATCAAATATAATTATTAAATTTTAAAGGTTAAATCATAAGTGTGAATTAAGAGAAAAAACTTAGTTAAATGGACTCCAACTTCTGTCTTAATACCCAAAAATAAAAAAAACTTTTTCACATTACTGTACAAATATATTTTTATGGAAAAAGGAATCAAATTTAATACCCTCAATTATTTTATTCTAAGTTCACCTATGGTTTTGACTATCTAATAAACTAGTTCTTACTTCTGTTAACGTAAAGTTTAATGCTGGACTTGTTAAATATGCTGTAAAAAAAGGCTCAATGGGTCTAAACTCTCTTGCAAATGCAAATACACATACAAATAGTGAAATTTTCTTCCATTCTTTCATGATTTATTATTCTTCAAGTTAAATTTTTATGTCAATACTAATGCGTCTATTATTAAATAATTATAATGACAATTAAGTGAATATTAACATAAACTTTCCATCTTATAATAAAATTTGGACGAAACGACATAAATTGACAACCTAATATTATAATTTATTAGTTATCGTTTGATTAATTAAAGAATAAAAATACATAGAGATAATAAAAAAAGAAAATTTTATGTGAACATTTCAATAATGATTAATTTTACAAGAGTTAGTAGTTTAAATTATTAAAGTAAGAATGTATTGATAGAACTTATACAACTATTAAAAATGTAAATCTATACTAAAACTTCTAAACTGTAAAAAAATATTGTTAAATTACAACTAGACACGCGACGTAAATTTTCACAAGTAAATTGAATATTGTTTTGTACATCAATTTATACTCATTGGACAAATTATACGCTTAAATGTACACAACTTTTACTAAGTTGTAATTACTTTGTGTTGTAATTATTCAACTAGATAGTTGATTAGGTGTTACTACATTTTAAGTATAAATTTCTACAAAAATATGTTTTGTTTTTCATATAGTATTTATGTGTAAATTGTAAAATGTTAAGACACCTAAAAGAAACTTTTTAACTTACAAAATTTGTTTAATCAGAAGCGGTTGTTGCTTCTGTTAAAAATTTAACTTTATATAATTATTATCTTGAATGGAACTATAAGTATTCCGTTTAGGGTATAATTATATCTCAAGTGATACCTTAAAATACTCAGTAAATAATTAAATTTTTTCGAAGAAAATAAAATAGTAATATCTTTAATAATTATTTATTATTTATTAAGAAACGACGTTCTGAAGGACAAAGAGACCATTTTACAACATAGATAAGTTCATTAAGTACAATTGATTAAATATTTCAATGTTAAACATTTACAGATATAATTAATTACACCAATAAATAATACACTTCAGCGATACTAAATAATCAAAGAAAAAATCGAAATCCTTAATGTTATTAGCAAATATACATCTATTAATTGGGCCGAGTAACTTTTTTGTTTAAATTAGTTACTTTAAGTAACTAATTTTGAAAATAAGTTTATGTATGAAAAAGTGATTGAGATCTAATATTGTGTGATGGAACTAAAAATTTAATACAAGAAAGTAAAACTGGGCACTGAATAATGTTACTTACAATTTTGAAAACAAAACTTAAATCATTTAAACATATCTTCTTGGTTAGTGGTTTAAGGCCAAAGCTCTTGGCTAATTTGTCAACAGATGTATTTACTTTATTACAATTAAATGCTACCATTTACAGGAACTTACATTGAACGGAATCAAGTGAATCACTTAACTTCACCGATTGTTAAGAACTCCATTATACAGGACTGCGTATTTTAATGTTGAACGTATTAAGGCACAATAAAAGGTTTTGAGACATGTAGCCTTAATAAATTCATTGCAATTGCTCTAAGTATACCCATTAATTTTTGAATATGGGTAAGAACTGTACTAATGTGAGAGTTAAATTACTCGTCAATACAATGCCTAAATCTTACTTTCTTAATTGAATTACAAAAAAATTAGTATTAATCGAATAATCAAAATAAATTATAATACGGTATTTGAAAAAATAAATTTGAAAACACTCATTAATGTTTATAGTAATGTCATTAATTTTACAACAATTATAGAATGAGTTAATATCATGCTATATTAGAGCACAATCATTGATAGAGATAATTTGTTTATATATTTTTAAATCATCAGCGAATAAAAAAGGCTTACTAAATTAATGAAACAAATATTTATAAACTGAATAGTCTTTGATTTATTTTTTAATTTGATGAATTATTTTATATTTAAATAAAATTTTTTAAATGTAAGTATATACAAACAATATGGGGAAATGGTGATGCTGAAACTGATTTTTTTTTTAAATATGAAGTTATTATGATATTTAAATATTCTATAAAGAAGAAAAGATGTTAAGTATTTTATTTCTTTATATTTCGTCCAAAACATATTTAAAATTACCATATAATACCCAATTATGTATGAATATGGGCGATTGTTTTACATAAAAAAAACGTTATGTATATTTTACCAAACATTACATATTTTTATATCTTTAAAAATCCATACAAAAATGTTACAATAAAAAGCCTAATAAGTGAAGTGAAAAATAAAATTGACTTTTTACGTATTTTGAAATATTTAAAAAAACAAAAGAACTACTAATTTACTCGTTTAGGTAATATGATAGTTTGTATGCAACTAGGGGGACTAGTGAGATCGTAGACTTCCAACATTTATATATATATATATCTAAATTAAAGCATATGTAATATACTTTAAGTTAATAAAAATTGTTCGGACGATTTATTTTCTAAGTGTACTGGGTTCTGAAAAATAAAAAAACATTAGAAATAAAAATGACAATTTTTTGTACCATAAAATTTATGTTTTTATATTTTGATTATTAATCTATAACTTAGTTCTGGTAAAAAAATTTTTTTAGATAAATTTAATCCTTTAAATAAAATATTATCATAAATATCAAAAGCATTGTAAAGTAGTTTGATAGTGATTTCAGTCACTTCTCAGTATTTAAAACTTTGATCCGAAATTTGCGAAAGGCAGAGTAATATTTATTAGCTATTTTAAAAATGTATTTTTCATTTAAAACTTGTATAAACAATAACGTATTTAAATGTTCAAAAGTTATTATTTTTGAATTTACAAATTTTTCTTAGGTATCAATTCGTTGTTAAAAGAATGTTATCAATACTTTCCGTTAAGACACCTGAATATATGATCACATACAATAAACCTTATGAGTTTTAAGTAATTAATTTTGATATTTGAAACAAAAAAACCATACTGATTAATAATATAAATTATAGTATCCACTAGAACAGTGAAAACTTTTACAATTTTTGTTAGATACCAGTTTGTATATAATGTTGTCAATTCTTTCAATTGGCGTTTTTCATTCGATGGTTCTTATATTTCCTCATCAATTCCATATTTTTTCATTATATATTTACACAGTTAAATTTAGTTAAGAAATTATTATCATATTTCTCAATTAATCCAAACGGTACGCTACTATTACGAAGTGAATCAAAGCATTCCATTAGTAAGTGGCACATCGGAAAAATATTTTATTAATGACGGTTTATAGCTTTAAGTCGAAGAAATCTTTCATAAAATTATAAGAAAAATAATGACTGAGGAATCAAGATATCAAAATGAATTTTTTATTATTAACTTTCTTAAAATAAGTAAAAATATTACCTAAAAGATTAAAAAAACATTGAATAGTTAATTTACAAGTTATAAAACTTAAGTTTGTGAAATTTAAAACTATTCAATTCTCACTTAAATTTAATCAAACTATGATTATATTAAACATATTTACCGTATCAATGTATCTTCTAATATAAATTTTTGGGTCGGGGCTTAAAAAAGAAATTAAACGGAATAACCAAAAAAACAGAACATTATTTCAATATATAAGAATTATTTCATCAATATTTTTCCTTAGATAATAACATTTATGATTATGATTATGTATAGTATTTAGATAACGTTTAATAACTGTATTAAACGACAATATATTATAATATATAATTATTATAGCACTTAGAAC